CACAGAACGAACAGTGCTTGTCTCCACCTGCAGGCAGGACAGAAGGCACGCTGACTGCCGGATGTGGCGTGGACGAAGCCTCCCAGCTCCACCACTTGCGCTTAGAACGGCATTGTTGGAGATGACATCTGCAGCGATCCCAGCTTGCTTCAGTAGGCAGATAGCCTCACAGGCAGGGCGAATGCGCTGCATCCGACAAAATTCGATGAGTGCTGGCCTGCATCCATTTCTGTTTCTTTTCCATGGCACTGAGGATGGCATTGAAGCTGATGGTATCCGGCAAAAGGGCATACAGCTTCAAGGTGTCGAAGACCAGCATGGCGCACTTCCACTCACCTGCTTTCTCCTGGACAGCAGGACTTGGAAAGTCACAAAAAGCAGGAGCCCCGTCACAAACTCTCTCGCAATATGGCAAGGCTCACAAGCACTTGAAGCAGCATTGAAGAGGATGAGACTGGGAACCACCATCGTCGATTCCAGTGCCCGCTGCAACAAAAGAATTGCAAGCTGCCACTGGGCCGCTTTCTCACAGGCGCTGATTAAGGCCCCGAATCCCACGACATCCTGGGCTGGCAGAACGCTCCATGCTCGCTCTCGCTCCTTCTATCGCTCTCTTTCTCGCTCTGAGTTCCGTGAAGGAAGAGATAATGCCGAAACTTCCCCCCTCTTTGCGGCTCTCTGTGCCTGTGTTCCTCCCTTTCCTTCCTTCAGCAACTTTCTCTCGCTTCCCCGCAGTCGCTTTTGCAAGCCGATGGGTATCTGGTGGTAAGCAGTCCGAGCTTCAATCTGCGTCCTGCTGGACATCATCGCAGCATACAGCGCCAAAGCAGCTGTCCACATCCCGGCCTTTTCGCAGGCGCTTATTGCCGCGCTGTAGCTTACCACGTCTGGAAGCGCTAGCCGGGATGCCATTCTTGCGAGAAGGCTGAGGGCAGTAGCCCACTTGCTGCTCTTCGCACATGCAGTGATGCAGGCGTTGACTGCAGCGCGATGCGAGCCCTTCAGCTCGCCCAAATCCTTCGGGGCCAGTGCTGCCACCCCATGCAAACCCAAAAGAGAGAGCCTGACAGGCCTAGCCGCCTAGCGGCCTAGCGGCCTAGAACCGAGAGCAGACCCCACACCAAATCCTCCAAGATCGCGAGGGCAAGACGCCATCGCCCAGCTCCACAGGCACTGATCGCCGATGTGGCCGCAAAGGAGTTCTGAGGCACAGCGCCGACGAGCTCCAGACCCCTCTGCCAGCAGCTGCACGTCGCACAGGCCTGGATGGCGGCACCGAAAGTGACTTCCGAGGGCCTCACTGCGAACTTGGGCATGTCTTCAAAGAGTAGGAGTGCCCTTTGTGCTTCCTTGCTTCTGGTGCAGGCGACAAGGCAAGTCGTGTAAGTCACGACGTCAGGAATGAGGACTTGCTCTTGCATCAAATTCAAAGCTTGCAGAGCCTGGGACCAGAGCTTGTGCTCGCACCCAGACCCTGAAGCAATCACCGCACTGCGCTCAGTTGGCAAGTGGAAGCTGGTGAGCCAGGCAAGCCAGGCTGTGGAGAGCTGCTGTAAGCTCCGCCACTTCTTCCGCTTCCCCTTCGTGATGCCAGCGCTCTCTGACTCTGCGATCTCTGTGTCCAGACTCTTCTCGCCAAACGCCGCCATCCGTCTTGGGAGCGACCATGCAGCATCCTCTCGCTTGGAGATGGTGAGTGGCAGCAGCCCATGCTCCAGGCATTGCTCGGCGCAGACGTCCTATATATCTCACAATGGGGTCGGGACTGAAGCCAGGTGAGCTTCAAATGCACGCTGCTATTCAACATACGAGCACCTCCGTGGGACGAGCAACCCCATTATCAGCCGTCATACCTTACATCTCGCATTCAAGCAATTTTCCGAGACTGGCATCAGGAAGACGCAAGGTAACGCTCTGCACAACTGTTCCTGTGCCTGAGAAAAGTCTTGACAAGAGCTCATGGCCTTCACGATCTCCGGAATGCAATCGTGCATCTGACAGAAGACTTAGTTGCTCTCCGGCTGGTCATTATTGATGAAATCTCTTCCTGGGGCTTAATGACGGTGCCAACAACACGGCCACCTTTGCTTGTACACGTGTACTCGCCACATGTCCACCATAGTCTAGAAACGAAGAGATGGGTAGGAATCGCAGATTTTGCCATATTCAGAATATCCCATACCGACAAGATCCATGCAGCACCAACACGAGAGCTCAATGGCTAGGCACGGCATGAAACATGTTTAGAGCTGTGCAGTAGTAGCCGATGCGGTCCGAGACTCCTCCCCTTCCAAACGTCTCCACTATCTGAACATCCATGTTCACCACATACCGCCACATACTGCTCGGGTTTTCTAGCCGTCTATTGGACGTTGACTGGGCGCTGTTTCCGTTGATTGAGGAGCAAATCCCATGGTCCGATCTTAAAGTTGGTTAAACGCAATCTACCAGCCGACGGAGCGTCTCGGCCGAAGTATTGGTAACATCCAAAAGCTTTTTCGATCACCTTCATGTCGCAGTCCTCGCCCTCTCTTGTCAGGGGACCGTGACCGTGCTCATCTTTGACATACTGTTACTTCCGCACCTGCTCCATGTCATACCCAATCGTAACCCTGCACTTCTTCGGAGCGGCGGCTTCCGCCTGCGCCAGTGTAGAAAAGGATGAAGGCTCCGGCCAATCTTCTGCCACCATGCAGCTGACCTTCTCCAAGCTCTTGTCTGGGCATTCGAAGTGGATAAGATTGTTGCTAGTGCACAGATCCTCGCGGGACGCTCCTCGTATAACCCATAGTCCAGCACTGCACGTCAACAGCAAGAGCTGCGTAAGCTTCCAGCGCGTGAAGCAAGGGCTGCCATTGTGCTGGTAGAAGTATTCATAGCATCCTGACAAGTCTTTCAGCTGTTGCGCGAAGGTGAAGATCCAAGATCCTGCTTTCGACCCTTGGTACTCTCAAAGCTTCCTCAAGCGAGACTGCAGGCACTTGGCGGGTTGCCGCAGGCCGCAACCGAAGCACCTGACAAGTGGAAGCGGGAGATTTTCAAGATCCTTGAAATCTGCGAAAGACAGGTAAGGTTTCAAGTTAGCCAGCTGGTAAAGGACGTATTGGCGGGCCTTTTCAAGAGACGTTGTTGGGAGTCCGCCACGTTGACGCAGAAGTCTGCACGAGCAGGGCCGAACCAGGTCCGGCCCGTAGAACGTCGTGCCGGCGTGGGCTGCGTTTTCAGCCGCTTGATGAACTTGGAACCGAGTGGCCGCCGAGTGGCCAGAGAGCGAAGCTTGTGGCCATCACCAAAGACCTGCTTAAAGTAGAAAGTCTCACCGCCGGCCCGGATGACTACCGAATCGCCATTTGGGTCTCCGTGAGCAAAATCGGCCTTGCAACCACCACACCGCGAGGACGATGTCTCGTGGACTACGGCTTGCTGGTGCAATGTCACTCGGGCATCCTTTCCCAGGTTCTTCTGCAGCGTGTCATAAGTGCCACTCGGCTCATACACGTCGGCACCGGAGATTCCCTGTTCAAGAAACCATGGCGTAGCCGTGCCGATGTGGCCGCCTAGATCAAGCACATAGTCGGAGCTCTTGGGGCTGAGTAGCGCGGTGGCGGTGTTATCAGACGGCTTGTAGCACGCCCGTCCAAACACCTCGAAAATTACTTTCATGTCGCAGTCCTCG